ATATTCCTTTCTCTTGACTTATTGATCAAAAGTAGCACTGTAATTATCTAGATCTATACTGAAATTTAGGGGAGGGAGGTATCTTCTGTGGAAGCTAGTGTCACCACAGACCATTTTACATCATCAATCCAAACTGTTCTCATAATCCTGCCTCTTGTTTAGATGAATGGGAGGAAGGTATATTTTCTGTAACAGACCTCACTATTTACAATCTGTTAAACAAGATGCTGCTTTTACAATATCCTTTGAGTATTTTTATTCCGTTGCTTAAAAGGAAATAATGAGGGTCAGAGAGGAAATAAGAAGAAAATGTAGTATTCCTAGGTGTTTTATTTCTTGTGATCTTTTATCAGTGTGCAATTATCCAAACATTGGATAATCTGATAGCACTGTGTTTTTAAATACAATAATAATAATACCTACTGTTGGTATTAACTTATTTTTACCTTTCTTCAAATTCTCATAGTAAGTACACTAACTACTCCAACATAACTGTGGTTTTGTTAAAAAATGCATTGCTAATCAAATTTTGTTGTTTCTCAGCTTTCTTTTAAAATTAGTGGGAGCAGCTAATGCACATTATATATTCATTTTACCTGAAAAATTATTTTTTTAAATTCAGCCATAGTACTGAAAGAATGAGGGAAGTATCTGAGAGTTTCATTTCTTTGGTCTTTTTACATTTTTAAAATAGCAAAGATAACTTGGTGTTGAAATATTGGTTTTGAAAAACTGCTTCCTTGAGGTTAAGCTTTGGTACAAAATATAGCTATTCTGTGTACTCTATGCAAATCTGTAGCATTTTCTAGATCTGTCTAACTTTTATATATATATTAGCTTTTATAAAATCTCGTATCTTACATTTAGATGGCAGATTATTCATACTGAGTTAGGTAGGATCAGCATGGATCCAAGTTCTTGAATTTATCTAAATGTAAGTTTTGTAGCTTCTGCATTTTGTAATTCTGTAGTCACAAGATGATTGGACATGCAGCTTGGAGATAATTACTTACTATAGAAACAAGCAAAGGAGTCTCGTTATAAAGTTTCTTTGACCCAGATTTTTTTCAAGGTATTTAGGCATTGCTCCTTTTAGTATTGCATTGCTTAATTGATTTAGGAGCCTGTCTCACTTTTAGAAGTGACTTGGGGACTAAGGCACTTTCATTGAGACTTAGCCTCCTTTTGAAAATGGGAATTGGGCTTCTAAGTCAGTTAAATGTTACAGCGCCAAATAGAGCAACATCTGAATACCTTTAAAAATCTGGGCCTTTGTTCTTTGTATTATCCATCTCTCTGGATAGCATTTTTAAGTTAAATTCTTCTGTAATGGGCATAATGTTCATGTTCAGTTATTTTATGTATGCATATTATAAATATGTGCTTATGTAAAATGGCATACATGGCACTTTGGTATAAAGGTTTCATTAACTTGGAATGGTCACATTACTCAGGAATATGAGGAAACTGCAGGTGAGCTATGCAGATCATCCAAATGAGTACTGATAAAATCTTTATCCTGTCATAATGTATTCTCTATATTCCACATCTGTTGCTGAAAAACAATTTTGGAGAGATTTTAAAAATTGTATTGGCACTATTTTTATTGGTGCCTCAGTTACCATGAGTCTAATTGTACACAGCACAGAGGGAGAGGAAAAAATAAAACAAGTATTCTTAAAATGTCTATGAAATATTCTAATCTAAACTAACTTATTTACAGGAAAAACAAGTCACAACTTTTAAGTCTGATATTTTGGGACCTTGCAAGTGCTGTGTCCCTCAATGGAAAGCTGGGAATCTCTCCCATTTCCGGCCCTGAAGGGGTTTGTAAGATATCAGACCTTAAACCCTTAAATCTGTCTCTGATTGTGGACTGAAAATTGCCCAATTTGGGCTTTGGATTAGTATAATTTTGGAAGGGATAGAGAAAATTCTATGTTAGGCTGACTTTTTAATTTCTGTTTGAAGCTGCTCAGAGTTTGAAATCTCAGTAGAAGTAGTGATGGAAATGGCAAAGTGAAGGTGAGGCGGGTGAAGATGCATGATAAATGCAGTTTATCACATGGATCTAGTCATCATGTGTCTATATGTTACATACATGTGTTATATATAAATTATAGGTGGAGCTGGTAGCACTGCTCATAGTTGAGTTTAGCTAGGGTTACCATACGTCCGGTTTTTCCCGGACATGTCTGGCTTTTCGGCAATCAAACCCCCGTCCGGGGGGAATTGCCAAAAAGACGCACATGTCCGGGGAAAAATGCCGGCCGGGCACTTCCCCTCCCGCGACTGCTCAGCTCCTCCCCTGACTCTTCGGCTCTGTTTAAGAGCTGAGCGCTACGGGCTTTGGGCAGCCCCCATGCCTCCGGACCCTGCGCTGCCGGAGCCCGGGGGGGGAAGGGCCCGGCCGGGGGCGCAGGGTCCGGAGGCATGGGGGCTGCCCGAAGCCCGAGCGCTACCGGCTTCACGGTTTGCCGGGCAGCCTCCAGACCCTGCGCCCCCGGCTGGGCGCTTCCCCTCCTGGGCTCCGCTGCGCTGGGGAAGCGCTGGCCGGGGGCGCAAGGTCTGGGGGCTACCCGGCAAACCTGAAGCCGGTAGCGCTCGGGCAGCCCTTTTCGCGTGGCTGGGAGTGCGGAGTTGGGGCGGGGGTGGGGGGAGGGAATTGGGGGGGGCCAGGCCCTGGGGGGGGGCCTCTTTTTTTTTATTTGTTAGATATGGTAACCCTAGTTTAGCTAACATTTTCCATTGTAAGACCTTGCTTTTTAGTTGCTTATAACTTTGACAAACTGTTTTCCATGTTGTATATCTGCCCCCAGGCTAAATTTGTTTGGAATGTTTCAACAAAAATAGGTCATCTATTTCCAACAATGAGATTAGGTAAAAGTACATTATACAGCCATTTCATTAAGGAAGGCCTCAAGCCTCCATACTTAGGAGAGGAGGGACATGAAACTTAGCAGAGGGGTCACTCTGGTGCATGGGATGTGCTTTTTGCAGTCCCCATAAAAATCCACCTATACTTGGTCAGGCTTGGCCTCTGAAAAATGTTTGGACATGCTCAATAGAAGTTTGTGAAAGGTTGGCAGCATTATTCTCCTAAGATTATCAGCACTGAACATGCTTCATTCCCACATGGCTTCTATGTGCTGACCAGACTGAGAATGCACCATCCCCACAAAGTGACTGAGCACAGTCCATTCCAGGGCTGCCAGGCTGAGCGAGACTTTTTCTGCAGTTGCTCTTTCCAACAACTGAGGGCCACAGTGGTGGCAGGCCTTAAAACTGAGAACAGGGAGAATGACTGTCTTATGCCCTTAAGGCTACCCCTGCTGATGCCTAGGCAGCGACAGGGAGAAGGAGTCAGACTGACTTGCTCAAATGCATAGGTGAGAGGAGAACATGGATAGATAGGGTAGTAGGTGCAGGCTGTGGGGAGATAGGAACAAGTGGGACAGGCATAGGCTGTAGGGGTGATAGAGCAGAGGAAGCAAGGATAGAAGAAAAGAGGACAGGCTGAGGCGGGACAGTAGGGTCTGTAACCACTAGAATACTCTCTTCCAGAACTTGGAATAGAATCAAGATTTCCTGAGTTCCAACATTCCTTTGCTATCAGCAAATAGCCATGAAACCCACTGGCAAAGTGTGTCTTATCTCTTTCTAATGGGTGGTCCACATAGCAGTAGAAGTATATATTAATCTTTACTAGTTGCTGAAGTGGTAGAGATCTATGCTGTGGGTATGAAAGTTCTAACCCTTCTGAAGACCCATGTATTATGTCACATGATGGAATTTTTTTTTTTTTTTTTAAGTTTTTTAAAAAAATCATTGGAAATAAACAAAAAAAAAAAAACTGTTACAAGAACATTATTATGTTTGCAAAGTCAAATATGCAAAAGTTAAGAAAAGCCAGAATTAAGGTTGTCTCTGGGGAGGAAAAAAGTGTGAACATGTAATTACAGACTATATCATAATGCACACTCACAGTGAGAGTGAATTAGAGTTGAACAGGAAACTTTAATTATGGCACTTTCTAATTTTTCAGGGCTTGACTTTGCAACCTTAACTTTCTTTTAATATAGATTGTTTTTCTTTGATAAAAAAGTGTGCATAAGTAGAAAAACTCAGCACTTTATAGTTCTTAGATCTGAAAGTGCTTTACAAAAGCAGGCAAGTAATATTGCTATTTTACAGATATGTTTGTGTGCATGTATTTCAATATTAATAATTTACTCATATGTATATTATACAGACACTTGAAACCTATGTCCATATAATTTAATCTAGTAAAGACCCAAAAGATTGGAAAAAACAGTTATGCCCCTTGTAGTGGCATTTTTTATTTACAATGAAAGGAAGAGATACAATAGTAATATAAAGCTAACAAAATTATGAAGTGAACATCTACTTGATTCTCAAGATATAACAACATTTGTCTCCAAATTGCATTTCACGTCATGTAATCCAGTGGTGACACTGATTTTTCTTCCTTTCTAGTCTGGCGTGAAGTATAGCACTGCCTTGCAGTTGTTATTTATGTAAGAAAAATTTGAAGCTTGGAACTATCAACATTTTCAAATTTAGATGCTTATCTCCTATATTTAGGCACTTAAATAAAAGTGGGCTGCCTTTTTTTTCCAGAGGTGCTGACACAACTCCAGTCAAAGTCAGTGGGATTGAAGGTGGTCAGAATTTTTGAAAATCAACCCAATTTTATTTAGGTATGCACATGGGATTTAGGGAGTAGGTTTGAAATCTTTGGCCTCTGTCTCAACCTCAATAATATCTTGGGGAAGAAATAATGTGTTGCCTCTGCATACATTTTAAGAACACAGTTTATGTAGCTTATCTGTCTTAATACTTGAACATAATTGTCCTTCAGGTTTCTCGGAATAAAATTAAGCATTATAATCTTTTAATGACTTACAGTAATTAGATGGTTCTCTATGCTGTTTTTCCTTGGTCAAAATTTTAACTTTTTTTTAAAAATGTATCCATAGGTAAAAACATCAGAGTTTTATCGATACTCTCGGCAGCTGCGGCATGAAGTTGACCAAGCCATGAATTACTTTCATAGTGTTCACCAACAGCCTTTGATGGAAATGAAATCCAATCGTATTCGTTCTGCCAAACCCCAGACTGCAGTATTTAGAGGAATGATAGGACACAGCATGGTAAATAGCAAAATTCTTCTCTTGCACAAACCAAGGGTCTGGTGGGAGCTAGAGGGTCCTCAAGTACCTTTACGACCAGACTGCCTTGCCATTGTCAATAACTTTGTATTCTTGTTAGGCGGGGAAGAACTGGGCCCAGATGGTGAGTTTCATGCTTCCTCCAAAGTATTTAGATACGACCCTAGACAAAATACTTGGTTGCGAATGGCAGACATGTCTGTTCCACGCTCAGAGTTTGCTGTTGGTGTTATTGGGAGATACATCTATGCGGTGGCTGGGAGAACAAGGGATGAAACATTTTACTCGACTGAACGATATGATATCACTGCAGACAAATGGGAATTTGTGGATCCCTATCCAGTCAATAAATATGGACATGAAGGAACTGTACTCAGTAACAAGTTGTATATCACTGGGGGAATTACTTCATCTTCCACTTCGAAGCAAGTGTGTGTGTTTGACCCCAGTAAAGAAGGGACGGTAGAACAGCGAACGAGGAGAACTCAAGTGGTCACTAACTGTTGGGAGAACAAATGCAAAATGAATTATGCAAGATGCTTTCACAAAATGATTTCCTATAATGGTAAGCTTTATGTCTTTGGTGGTGTTTGTGTGATCTTGAGGGCCTCCTTTGAGTCGCAAGGGTGTCCTTCTACAGAGGTTTACGACCCAGACACTGATCAGTGGACTATTTTGGCTTCTATGCCAATTGGAAGAAGTGGTCATGGTGTAGCTGTTTTGGACAAACAGATAATGGTTCTTGGAGGCCTTTGTTACAATGGTCATTACAGTGATTCAATTCTCACCTTTGATCCAGAGGAAAACAAATGGAAAGAAGATGAATACCCAAGAATGCCCTGCAAGCTGGATGGTTTACAGGTTTGCAGCCTGCACTTTCCCGAATATGTACTGGAGCATGTTAGACGTTGCAACTAAAAAAACAAACAAAAAAACCCCCTTCTAACCCCAATGAAACACAAAAAACTATCTCTAATTTGACAGGAAAACAAAGCAGATTTAATTCATTTAAAGACGTTGGCTTGTATGTAAAACAGCTATTAGATGCATAGAGAAACGGGATGTACAGGGAATGCACCTACCAAGTTTATTAGAAATGCCAATAACTGTGGTCTGGTATTGTAAAAGTTTTGCTTTTTATTTTTTTTAAACAAATATTGCTGTATGTGGGGTGGAGTGGGGGAGGGGGGGCAGAAAAATCTATTTTTCAGTGTGTTTACTTTTTTCCCCTTTTTCTTTGTGGCCTTTTATGTCCATGCAATAAGTTTATTCTGTATAATGGCCATCACAGCAGCATCCTTCTTGGAACCAGTTGAATATAATGATCTACTTATGGGAAGAAGGGGGACAGAAAAATATATATTGTGCATTTTCATTAAGTGTCAAGATAGGATTCAGCAGCCTTACTGGGGGAATACCTGACTTAAACTCTATTGACAAGGGTTTCATTTTGTTCCTTTAAGTTGTGGTGGACATTTTTATTTTCTCCATTTATGAGTACTCAGTCCAGTTCGGTATTTTTTTTTTGTTTTTTGTTTTCCCATAAATACATTTTAAAATGATCTTAACCTTTGTGCATGGCTTTTCCCTGGATTTGTACAGTAGTATCAGTAAGTCTGCCAAAAAATGCAAGTTATACATTTTCTATTAAATTGATAATGAAGCATTTTTATATTCCAACACTATTTCTATGCTGCCTTCTATTGTCTGCATTGTGTTTGTTGGTGAGTAAGATATATACACACACATGCATACACTGTAAGATCTATATATAATGCATCTTTTTATGTGCAATTAGGATATTATATTTTTAACTAGGGCACAGATTCAGCCATATCTGTTGAATTTTAGATATAGTAGCATTCTTTCTTGAATTAAATATTACAAAATTCTTAAGTAACTGGAGGCCTAGTTTGTTATCAAAGAAGCCTATCTTTGGTATACACTGATTCATTCAGTAATATTTAAACTCTTTATATTAATAATATGTAATGAACTGTTAACAGTTTGACATTTTATATATTATTTTAAAAAAGTAAATATATCTTACCCAGTTACAGTCCTTCACTTTTGAATGTGTTGCCTTGTTTTTAATAAAAATCAGAAATGTATCAGTAAGCAAGCATGAACACTGCACTAACATGCAGTTTTTTGTCAGACCTAGATATACTATTATTTTTAGCAATGGCATCGCTTGTAGTTGTGTTGAAGTGATGTAATCTAATATTTTTTTGAAGCATCAACTGATATGAACTGCTGTGTTCTAAAAATGTGGGGTTAGGCAATTGGGGACAATGTTTACCATTTCTGTAATCTTTAAAATAGAAACCTACAAAACTATAGCTACTGACCTCATACTTCCTGAAATAAGACTTGTGATCCAAGAGGGCTTGAATAACTGCACCATGTTTGAGCACTTTGTTAACTTGTTGACTTTTACTGACTGTAGATTGGTGAGACTATCCACCAAGATAAACACAATTATAAAAGTAAAGCATTAAAATCCTAGTTCTTTCACACTGGTGTGAAATTAGCCTCTTCTGGAGTCAAGAGGGAAAAGATTTCCTCTCTAAAATTTGAGGCCAACACTGAGCTCAAATATGCAGGGACAAACTGCTGAGATATAAGCTTGCAAAATCATCTGCTTACATGAAACTCTGTAGCATTAGATTTTACAAGATATGCAGTAATGGTTGAGAATCCATTTCTGTTTCTGCATCTCCCAGCCAGAAGTCACTGTAGAAACGGAATGTACAGTACTCAGGGAGTTCAAAAGAATGCACTTATAAGGGACCAAATACACCCTACATTTGCTATGATAAATGGTAACAAGTTTGTTTGGCTAAACAAAATTAGAAATTAATAATGGATATTAAAATGTTTTGCGAAATGCACCATGCTCACATTTAATGGTATCTTTGTTTTCTTGCAGTAATGTTCTTTCAAATTCTGGATTGAGAGAGATGGGAGGACATGGAGTTATATTGCAAGTTAGCAGATTTTATTTCTTTAATTAGCAATAATATAGCAAAGCAGAGTTGATTACTGTAATCTTTGATCAAAAGAGAGAATTTACACCACCATAGCTGGAATGATAAAGGATGTCTAAGCCAGAGATGGCTGGACCAAATGTTCACATTCAGCCTTCTGGTGCAGACCACAGGTTGCAGTTCAATGTAATTCTTTGCTTATTATTTTCCTATATTTTTCAATTTACAAGTACAGAATTTAATTTGTTTTATTTTAGTAATCTGAACTACAATCTTTTTGATATAAGACAAGGCACCAACCTTGCCATGAGATGTGTGCAGATGGATCCCTGCAGCCAGATGGGGCACCGTTGACTTTGATGGGCCCTGCTCAGGTTCAGGGCTTCTGTGTTTGTATATTTCATTGCAGAATCAGGGTTCAAGACAAGTTACCTTATTTTTACTCCTGTTTTGCTCTTTTTGTTAGTAGCCCATTTTCTGGCATGTTATGTGAATGGGGCAGCAAAGATTAGTAGTCCTGCTGTCTAGGTAGGCTTATGCAAGCCTATCATGAGTAATATTGAGCATTTCACCCTGCTATCTAGGGGTGAGCTGGGGAACCATTGTTGATCTGGAAATTTGGTCTTCCATGATTTAAGTATAACAGGTTAAAGAGAGAAGGCCAAGATTTTACAAAAATGGGTGTCTAAAGTTATGTTCCTAAATCTGTACTTCAGCACCTACGTAAGTGACCTGATTTTTCTAAAGTACTGAACACCCAGCAGCTCCCACTAAAGGGAAAGGGAATGCTGGATGCTTGGTACTCTTGAAAACAAGGCTAGTTATTTAGGTGCCTATGCCCCCTTTAACTTCAGGAACCCAGTTTTAAAAATCTTGTTTAAGGCCTGTAATACTAGTTACTTTGTGAAATTCTAACTTGAACTAATTATTGGTTTCAGCTTCAGCTGATGTGTTGGCCGTAACCATTTTGAGCATTTAGAATTATTGGAATTTGCTTGGTTCATAATGTCTGGGAGGCTGGGAATGTTTTGTAATGTACATTTCTACCATGCTCATTATTTCAGTCAATAAATACATAATTAATCCACATTATCTATAAATTGTGATGTAGCTTTTGAAAAAAAAAATGTTACATTTTTGAGATAGCTTAGAGGGATGTTTTCTTTTTCACTAAACCATTTTGTGTGCATTTGCCTTTAGTAGCTATGCTCCCTAGTCAGTGTTTAAACAATAACAAACCAACCGAACAAAAAATCAAGGCTAGCTAATCAGAGACTTGCATATCACCTATGAGATCTTTTGAATACGATTATTATATTAACTCGAGGATTTTTTTACCACTTAAATGTACCCCTAGTTAATGAGGAAAAAGGTAAACCCTAACCCTTTATAGTAAGTTTGCTCGTTTATCTCCCCCATTCCTTTTTTTTACTTTTTAAAACTTGGCACACAGCCTGCTTTTAAACAGCAACAGTACTCATGTTGTAAAAAGGGATAGACATACTTAGTCCAATCTCTGTTTCTCAGTTTGAAAAAAAAGTTAGTGTTGGGTTCTTGTCTAGCTATCTCGGTTTCCTTCCTGGTCCTAAGAGGAACCCTGTTTCCTTGTTAGGGGCCAGAAGCTGCAGAGTGCTGAGCACTTCATGAAATGTGCTGAGCACCATCAGTTCCCATTGGAAGCCCAGCATGCTCAATACCTTGCCAGTTCAGGCAGATTTGCAAAAGAACTCAGCACCTATTTAAGCACCAAAGTAAGTGGCCAGATTTTCAAAATTAAGCCATTCGCACTGGGTGCGTTGAGCACTTTTGAAAGTCTGGCTGTATAGATTCAGCTGGAGGGAGGCAGCTACTATTTCAGAAAGCTCACTAGCCTCAGGGACCTGTGGCAATTCAAGGCCTGATGATTTGCTGTCTACTTCCATATGCTTTATGCCATTGGAAAACAGAATCCCTGCTTTTCAGTGATATATAGCAGTCAGTAATTCCTAGTCCTGGTGGTTTGTGACTTTAACACTCTCGGAGTATGTCTACGCAGGGATAAAAGACCCATAGCATGGCCGCAGCTAGCCCAGGTCAGCTGACTCGGGGTCAGGCTGCGGGGCTAAAAATCATGGTGTAGACATCTGGGCTCAGGATGAAGCCCGAGCTCTAGGACCTTCCACTCTACACAGAGATTTTGTTCAGCCCTGGAACCTGAGCCCCGCAAGTCCAAGTCAGCTGAACTGGGCCAGCTGTGAGGTTTTTTTTATCCCTGCATAGACATACCGTTTGGCCCCTGAGACTTGCAGTCCTGTTGTCTTGCTCTTGAGACCTTTTTTCTGCAGCAGCAAATGCTGCCTTTTTACTGATACTATAATAATCATCCACATCATAGATGGAGCTTCTCCGTACACTCACGAAGCAAAGGATTAAACAAGTACAAATTAAATTAGGTTAAAAACCATACATATACCAATACTGGTCTTTAACTCAACGTGACCACTTCTTCATAAAGTGAGGGTTGGCTTGAGGGTATATCAGCTGCTCTTTCTGAAATACACAATTCTGCACCTTATGTCTTTTGTTTCATAAAGGACTAACTGAAGAAAAATCATGCATTTTTAAAATAGGAATGTCATTTACAGGAATGTTTTGCCTTTATTGAAATATTTTTTTCTTGACCAAAAAAAAATAGGGAATTGGGCTCCAATTCTTCAGACATGGGCATGTTTTTAGCTTTACATAGATGAGTTGTCCATTGAAATAAAATGAAAAGCTGTGCCAACTATTTAAAAGTCTATTCACATGTAAAGTTAAGTGTGTGCTAAAATGTCGGTAGGATTGGGGCCTTAGAGAAAACTTGCTTTCTCCCCACCTCTATCCAATATAGTACCTTGTGAATTTATTCTAATAAGCATGTTATGTCACAGTTGCAACACTCACTCAAGTAGTGTGGAAAGGGTAAAGAAGGAAACACAAAAGGAAAGAGATGTCAGCTATGTAAAACTAAGTTTACCAATGTTTTATAAGTAACAATTTGAGATTTTAATGTTTGTAAGACAATCTGAAAATGTTTAAAATAAACACTAGTGACTACTTTTGTTATGGCATCTGTATTTTATTTTTCTTGGATTGCTAAATAATCTACAATTTCAGCATGTGTAAGATGTTAAAATAAGTACATACTGTGTTTGAAGTAAACCTAAAGAAATTATGTTGATGGCATCTGTAATCTTAACAAAATATAGTACTGTTAAACAGCTGGCAGAAAAATAGACTGTTGAGCACTGCTTCCCTGGACTTCCCCTCTCCCCAAATTTCAGTTCACGTTTCTGTGCTTTTTAAAAAAGTTTTAAGGATCAAATTCAAATAATATTTAGATTATAATTGAGTTGGTAGCTGGGGGAAAACCACTTTCTACTTGCAAGTGCTATTCCTTATATAGTGCACGGGGGGGAAGAAAGATTGGTGTAAGCATAAAAAATGAAATGTTACATAGAACTGCAGTGGTAGCTATATTTTATAGAAGGTTTTTATTTCTTCAGTGAACCCACCTAACTAACATTTAATGCAGGTTATGGGACTAGATGGAGGGAATAGCAAACCTCCCAGTCTGATTTTCTCTTTTCCTATGTATTATTTTGCAGAGCTTTAAAAAATGAATTCTCATAAGTTGAAGAATGTAATTCCACTGTAGTTTCATTACTTTCCAGTCCTGTTTGAGATGGTTGTGTTTTGAAAAGAATGTTTCTGTAAGTTAATGGAAAGTTATTTGCAAATTCTTCTGTGTGTGCTGTAGCAATTGGAAGTATTCTGCCTATTTAAAAACAAATATAGAGAGTTTTTATGTATGTTTTTGGTTAATTGTCTAATATTCACCCCAAGGCTGCTATAACATTCTTAGAATAATTTAAGGTTTGCCTTTTATAACTATTTTAAAAAGCCTTTGGTTTTTGGCAGAAGGTAACTTTTCCTAGCTATGGATACAATATGTTCAGACATGTGTATGTGCTCTGTTCTGTTTTTAAACTGAAAAAATGTATAAAGTGTGTATAAGAAAAGTGTAAATAAAATATTTTTCATCTTTAAGCACACAGTTGCGTAATCTCTGCAATATCTAAATGCAGTATACCCGGAGATCTTTTTTTTTGCACACAAGACTTATGGATCCAACTGGGTAAGTACTATCTTAAAAAAAAAAAAAAAAAAGAGAGAGGAAAATGCAATTCACAAAGCTGTATTAACACCCTAAGAAGTTTCAATAAGTCAAGTTGGATAGGTTTGTACAGAGTACAGGCGTTGCCTTTTGACAATTTTTTTATAATTCTCCCCTTTCAAATCCCCCCCACAACCCAAGACGTACTCCAGTGTGTTCATGTGCTCTAGGGCCTAGTCTAATCCCCATTTGAGACAATAGTGCCTTTCAGTTGACTTCAGTAGGCACTGGATCAGGCCTCTACTGTGTCAAAAGCTCTCCCAGTTCAGACCAGCTTTTTCAAGTGTAGACTAATGTGTCTTCCATAGTTGCTGTTTCCTCATCCCAGATTGCTCCTGTAGGGTGTGACTGCTGAAATTTTCTAGAACCCAGCTCTCTTGTCTGTCATCATGGCTCATTATTGCCTTTGGGGTTTTTTGTTTAGACAAAAATTGTATCCTGGGTTTGGACAATATACAGGAATCTATCCGAATAAGATATATTGAACAACAATATCTAAAAAGAGTTATCAAGGACTACATTTGTAACTAAATGTCTAGACCTGTAAGTACTTTAATAACTTAAAAAAATAAAGAAATAAATAAAGCCAACCTGGATATTCAAACCAGAGGCCAAGAGGGGAAGAGAATCTATCACCTAACAATGTTCTTAGTTATCAATATGCTCAGTCTGGTTTAGGATACCAAGCTTTTGGAGCCCCAAAGATCACAGAGGTCTAATTGATTTAAAAGAACTGAAGATTTTCCATCAGCAATATTCCATGTACATTTCAGCATTAATTTAATAAATTTGTTAAAGTAGGTCAATGTTCTGTCAGTGTTGGAAAATAAGGATCAAAATTTACTTTACTAAAAATAAAGATCATGGTCTCGCCATTTTGTCTGCTCGGGTAGCCTGATTAGGGGCCTTCCCTGTCAGTCTTGTTCACTTCACTTTCCAAACCTTATCTCTCCCTGTCCAAAACCAAAACAAACCCCACAGTATTTTACCAGACTCTGTTCAACTCCTTTTTTTGTCTGTGGACCTTCTGTTTGCCCCCTTTCCTTTCTCCTCATCCTTCTTTTTCATCTTAACTTTTTCCATTTTAATTTTTCCGATGTTCCTCCCTTGGATCTTTCATGTCATGCTGCC